CTCTGGTTCAGTTTATTCATCTGTGAAATGGGGACAGTAGGAGCACCTCTGCTTGGAAGAGTGCCTGGCCTCAGGGACGCTCCACGGAGTTACATTACAGAGCAGTGGGCGTCATGTCAGGATCGCTGCTGCCCTGAGGGCTTCAGGGCACTAGAGACCCTCCTCAGCCCTGGTCATGCTGTGGGCACATGGCGGGCACCTGTGAAGTTTCTGTAGGACAGATGAGTACGTGGGCACATTCAGCAGACATGGGTGCTTACTCAGCGCTGCCCCATAGGAACAGAAGGGGTCCCTTTGTCCAGAAGGGTGATGGACAGAAAACAGACATGCATCCTGTGGACCGTGACAAAGGCTGTGATTGGGGATGATGGTCAGAGGAGGCCCTTGGAGGGAAGCCATTGGCGGGCTTTAAAGGAGTGGGTTGGGGATGAGCCAGGAGCCGGTTCAAACTCCATGGGTTGAGAGGAGGCCACAGCAGAAGCAGCTGGGTGGTAGGGGCAGCAAATGGTCCAGAGGAGATGAGGAGGGGCTGGCTGAGGGGCCAGGGACTGGGGAAGTGGCTGGACCAGCCTTGCAGCTGCACCACCAGGCTGCGGCTGGTGGGTGGGGGCGGGCTGGTGGGTGGCAGCGGGCGGGGGCGGGGGTGTCACCCAGAGAGGGCAGAGGCAAGAGGAAGTCCTGGTTCTGAGCCTCGGGCGCCCAAGTTTGGCAGCGGGGGTCCCATGTATGGGCTGCATCTCCACGTGCCCTCGTCAAGCCTCCGCTTCTTCCTGGTGAAAACAGTGGTTTCTGTTTCTTGATGGCGCAGAGCTGAGCCCTGTGGCTGTAGCTCATCCTCCCACCTTTACAGGTGAGGAAGCCGAGGCTCAGGAGGGCAGGCCTTGTGCAGGGAGAGACGAGTCCCAGGCCCAGCCTGACCCTGTGCCCTGCAAGGGGGACAGCCAGCTGTCTGCTGACCCCCCCTTGCTGACACACAGGTGTCCTCAGCCGAGTTCCTCCTCCTAGCCTGTAGCCTCACTGCCCTGTGTCCACTCGGAATGCGACCGGGGAAAGTTGGAAGCACCTGCAGGAGTGGACGGGGTGATGGGACGGGCCCCTGAGAGCTGTCTGTGGCCTGCCGCCCCCTGCCTGCGTCATCTTTGGAGCAGATCCCAGGCATCATCATTTCACGTGTCAGCACTTCAGACTGTGGCTCTAAAAGATAAGGGCTGCTTCTTATTTTTTTCTTTCTTTTTTTAAAAAAAATCAATTAGTTTACTTTTGGCTACGTTGGGTCTTCGTTGCTGCGCACGGGCTTTCTCTAGTTGCCGTGAGCAGGGGCTGCTCTTCATTGTGGTGCATAGGCTTCTCATTGTGATGGCTTCTCTTGTTGCAGAGCGCGGGCTCTAGGCGGACGGACTTCAGTAGTTGTGGCTCGCGGGCTCTAGAGCGCAGGCTCAGTAGTTGCAGCACACGGGCTTAGTTGCTCAGTGGCATGTGGGATCTTCCCGGACCAGGGCTCGAACCCGTATCCCCTGCATTGGCAGGTGGATTCTTAACCACTGCGCCACCAAGGAGGTCCCAGGGCTGCTTTTTAGTATTGTAGCAGTACCAGTGTCATGCCTGCAAATTATCAATTTTTTAATCCCCAGCCTAAAGCTTTTCCCTGTCTGAATCAGGATCTTGGCCGGACCCGCACATTGTGATTCAGGGGGTTGTCTCCTAAGTCTCTTTGAATCTATAGATTCTCCTTCTACCTTCTTTTTCTTTTTCTTTTTTTTTCTTTTTCTTTGCACTTTATTTGTTGGAGAAGCCGCGTCATTTGTCCCGTAGAGTTTGGTACCGTCTGCCTTGTTGCTGCTTTCGTCCCGGTGGTGTCTGCATTTAGCACAGTCTCCTGATCTGTGTCTTCCCTGACAATGTGCACTTGAATCTGGAGGTGAGGTCTTCCCGGGAAGGGGGTCCGTGCTGGTGACGTTGGCAGGGTTGACAGACAGCGCCTGGGTGACCGACCTGTCAGGAGTCACAGATGGGTGGTAATCTTGTTCCTTCTTCATGTAGTAGCCGGGATACGTTTGTGCCATTTACCCCTCTTATCGTCTGTGTGTTTACCTAGTGGGAAAGCGGGACAAATGCTTGCTTCCACCCGCCTCCTTTGTTTGCCAGTTTCAGGCCCTGCTCCCAATCTCGACAGATGTTCTGCCGGCCAGAGGCTGTTTATTCCCCGGCACACGGATCTGTGCTGTCTCTTCCCCAGCCTCAACCCCCGTAGAGCCCTCTGCCCCCAGGATGAGGCTCACCCTCTAAGTGGCGGCCAAGGCCCTTCTCTCTGGGTCCCCTGCTGCCACTGCTGTCCACCCTCCCCTCCAGCTGCAGCCACGTGGGCTCTCGGGGTCCCAGAGAGGACACTGTGGCCTGCGGTGCTTTTCTGCACCCTCTAGCTGTTCTCCAAGCCTGTCACAGCCTCCACGGGCCCTTCCTGGCCCCCTCCCCACCCCCACTGTTGGGTCAGGCCCCTCTCCAGCAGTGGTCACATTTCATTCTTTTGGCGAATATGGAGCGCCTCCCCAAGGCCAGCACCCGGGGAGGGGGGTGCAGGACAGGAGTCCCCACAGCCGCTGCCTCCAGGGGTTCCCAGCTTGGTGGAGACACACACCCAGTGTGACAAATGCCTCCATATGGGTGGACACAGAGGAGGGGCACTGGCCGCATGTAGGGGCGAAACAGTGGTTACCGAGGGCTGCTCTCTCTTCCTTAACAAGAAGTGGGAGACAGCAGCTCTGTGGCACTAGGGCTGCCCGCCTGGGGTGCTCTCGGCTTCCCTCCACGCTTGTGCCGTGGCTGATGCTGGCCTGCAGGTGTACCGTGTACCGTCTCACAGTTAGGCAGGAAGAAGAGAAATGCTGAGACTTTCTTGCACTTTTTTGATTTGGAAAGGAAAGCCCTCCCTAGGCTGACCTCCCTTATCTCATCGCCTCAAACTAGGTCACTGTCCACCTTGGACAAGGGGACTGATTTCCAAGTCTCGTGCAGATGGGCGGGGTAGAAACCTATTCTTCCTGGGGCCAGGGGCCAGGGGAGGGGCCGGGTCGGTGTCGGTGGCATCGGGTTGGCTCGAGAAGGCCTGGCAGCTCCTGGAGGGCAGGGTCTGCGGCTCCGTCGCACGACAGATGCACCTTCTACCTTTGTGGCCTGGATGGGGGGACAGAGTCGTCCAAGTGCAACTGCAGGACCTCACTCCTGTCCCCTTTGTTCAGAAGCGGGCGTGTGGCCAGCCAGGCTGCCGCTCCCTGCATCACCAGCTCACCACGTGCCATCTGCCCAGGGATGGCGGGGTGGCCCGGGGCCCTGGTGCACCACCACAGGAGGAAGGGGCAAAGAGAAGCCAGCCCGGGAAGTGCCAGCGAGAGGGCTCAGCTGCCCTGCCCCTCCTTCCTGAGCCACCTCCTGTGCACTGCTGAGAGGCCGCCACTGGCTCCCTTGTACTCCTAGTTTTCTCTCTCCCGCGGATAGCACTTTAAAAAATTGGGGTGTAATTCACATACCAGGAAATGCACCCTTTTTAAAGCACACGAATTTGGTGGTTTTAGCGTGTTCACAGTGTCGTGCAGTCATCACAATTTTCTAGTTCCCAGGACGGTCTCATCATTCCAGAAGGATACTTCATCCCTATTTGCAGTTAGTTTCCACGTTCCTCTCCCCCAGCCCCTGGCAACCATGAAGGCACTCTGTCTCTGGATATGCCTGTTCTGGACACTTCGTGTAAATGGAATCACACACTGCATGGCCTTTTGTGTCTGGCTTCTGTCACTGAGCATCGTGTTTTTGAGGTTCATCCACGTGGTAACATGTGTCAGTGCTTCATTCCTTTTTGTGGCTGGATACCATTCTGTTATATGGATGGACCACAATATGTTTATCCATTCACCTGTTGATGGACACTTGGGTTTGTTTCCGCTTTTTGACTATTGTGAGTGATGCTGCTGTGGATATAGGCGTACAAGTTTTTTGGGGTTTTTTTGGTCTTTTTTTTTGTGGTACGTGGGCCTCTCACTGTTGTGACCCCTCCTGTTGCAGAGCACAGGCTCCGGACGCGCAGGCCCAGCAGCCATGGCTCACGGGCCCAGCCGCTCCGCGGCATGTGGGATCTTCCCGGACCGGGGCACAAACCCGTGTCCCCTACATCGGCAGGCAGACTCGCAACCACTGCGCCACCAGGGAAGCCCAGGCGTACAAGTTTTTATGTGAATGTGTATTCTCATTTCTTTTGGGTATACATCTAGGGGAGATATGTGTTACTCTGTATTCAACATTTTGAGGAACTTTCATACACTTTTCCAGAGGGGCCACCATTTTACCTTCCTGCTAGCAGTGCACCAGGATTCTGGTTTCTCCACATCCTTGCCAAGGCTTGTTATTTTCCTTTTTTAAAATAATTGCCATCCTAGTGGGTGTGAGGCAGTATTTTGTGGTTTTGATTTGTATTTCCTTAGTGGTTAATGGTGTTGAGCATCTTTTCCTGGGCTTATTGGCCGCCTGTATGTCTTTGGAGGAATTTCCCTTCCAGGAAAGGGGCCGGGGGTTGAGGCTGCAGGATCCTGGTCCTAGAGCCTGGGGTCCGGTCTCAGCATTGTCGCTGAGCAGCTGTGTGTCTTGGAGCGTCGTCTTCCCCGTCCATGGGCCGAGCACTGAGGGTTGAGGGGGATGTGTGTGCGGGGCTCCGCTCACCATCGGCAAGACTGCTTCATTAACCAGCTGAGAACATCATCCTGATGATCTTTATTTCTGTCGTGGTGCCTGCTTTGCCGCTCCGCAAATAGTAAGTTGATTTATTTTGCATGAGCGGAGCGATGGGGAGGCGCGCACACACACACACACACACACACACACACACGCATATGAGGGTCCGAGGGGAGAGGGGGGCAGGCCCGGCGGCAAGGAGTGCCTCCGCCTGGTCCTTGGCTGCCCTGCAGCCTCCTGCCCAGCCCTCTGAGTGGACTTCCTTGTTTTCTCTGTTTAAGGAGGAGCCAAGGAAGGTTTGCTTCACCTATGACCTGTTCCTGAACCTGGAGGGCAACCCGCCCGTCAACCACCTGCGCTGTGAGAAGCTCACCTTCAACAACCCCACCGTGGAGTTCCGGTACAAGCTGCTGATGGCCGGCGGGGTGAGTGTGCCGCTCCACGTGCCCCAACATGGCCCCCAGCGCTGGGTGGCCCTGGTGCTGGGGGCACCCGGGGCTCTCCAGCGTGTGGTCGGGCACCCAAGACCCAGAGGGGCAGGTTGCACGGGTGGCGCCCAGCAGCTTTGGATGGGACCCAGGGGTCCCAAGTCTGTGCTAGGGTGTTGTCCGCTGCGAGTGACTGACTAGTCTCTAGTTACCCTGTAGCTTCTTGTTGGCTGTGGGTAATTAGCATCGTCCTCCATGGAGGTGGAGCGGGGCGGGGGGAGGGGGCAGGAATGGGCACGAGGCCAATCTGTCAGCTTGGAGCCGGAGCCAGTTTTAACCAGATCAGCAAGGCCTCGCGGGGGTGTGTCATCGTGTCATGGGTTGGGTGGGGAGCAGCCCTGGCTCTCTCTGTAGGGGCTCCCTGCTGATGCGCGCTCCTGGCGGTTTTGTCCTGGTGACACAGGCTCTCAGAACTTCGGTCTCCGTAGCAAGTTGTGTGGCCAGTGATCCCGCTGCACGTGGCAGGGCCCTTGGAGAGCGGGCTGGGGTGCTCGGCCGTTGAGGAGGACTGGACTGCGCCGAGGGCGGTGGGCTGAGCGCACGGACATCCCGAGCCTGGGATGAAGGAGTCCGGCCGGGGGCGCGAGAGCCTGTGTGTGCCCACATGTGTGTCGTGGAGGCAGGCCCACCTCCCCAGTGCGTGCAGGGCGTTTGGCTTGGGTTTCTTTGGCTCTGGGGAGCAGTCCTTTCCTGTTCACTTAATTCAGTTGGGTCTTTCTATAAACTTTTTTAAAAACATGAAAGCAATCACGTATTCATCGCAGAATACATGATTAAGTTATGCTGTGTTCCTAGTAAAAGATTAGTGTGCGATTCTAATCTAGCACATGATGGCTGACAGAGTCCAGTCACAGAGCCGGGAGGTGCAGAGTCAGCTTACACAGATGTTGGCCCTGAGTTTGCCGGGTTCAGTGGTCCTCCCCCAGCTCTGCTTCTCTACCTTATTTTCGCTGCGAAATATTTTCCAAAGTATTTCCCGAGGTGTTACCCAAAGCTTTCACGGTCACCTCTCTTTGGGAGACAGACACACACAGCGCCCACGGGCCTCTCAGAGCCCCAGGACCCAGGCATCGAGACCTTGGCTCCCCACGTAAAGTTTTTTTTTTAACCTTTAGAGTCACATGCGAAAACTGGTTGTATCATTTATAGTCATTTATTTTATTTTTTAAAAACTAAAACGTTTTGAAGAAAAAAAAGATGTTTTCTTTGCTCTGAGGAGATGCAGGTTCAGTGAGCATCATCTAAACACATAAAACTGGAGGGCGGGGAGGAGGAGGTGCGCAGGGGCCGGGGAGGGAGGTGGGGAGGGCAGTCGTGGCCTGCAGTTTGGGAGGGAGCGAGGGAGGCCCGCGAGCTGCCGCCCTGTGGTCTCTGCTGGCTGCTGTTCTGGCCCTTTGGGGCTGCCTGGAGAGCCGGTTGGCTGGTCAGGAACTTTCTCGCCCTTTGGGGCTGCGGGCTTCAGGCCCCAGGCTGATGGCAGGGCAGTGCTTTCTGGTCCTAGGAGCTGCCCGAGACCTTTATGGGACGGTGGCTCCTGAGCCCTGAGTCCTGGTCCCTGTTTGCCATTCTGGGGCTCTGGGGCTCTGGGTCCCAGTGGCGCCGCCTTTGCCATCCGGTGGCGGATGGGCCCAGAGCCTGCCTGCGTTGACGTTGATGTCGGCGCTGGAAGCGCAGGAGGCCAGCGCAGGAGGAGCGGGCCGTCGGTGAGCCCGCGAGGACTGCTTTCTGTGCGGCCCCTTCTCCCAGGGTTGCCTGAGCCCTGTCTCTCCTTGGTGAGGCTCAGACACCCTCAGCGGTGACCTGAGCTGCTTCCCACTGTGCCAGGCGGTTGCCCGGCCCCTCAGCTTGTGTCTCATCCTTTGCCCCGTCGGCAGTTGAGCTACGCAGAGGTAGAGGCTCCTTCAGAGGCCAGGGGTGAGACGGGTCCCCGTGGAGCCATGTGCCCCAAAGGGTTGTCACAGACAGGCAGCGACACGGGAGGCTTCCACGCGCTGTCCTGGGATAGGGTTTGTCGGGGACCTTCATTTGAAGGGAGAGAAGTTGCAGCGAAAGTAGAAGGAAAAGGTCTGTGAGTGGACGCACTAAGGTGTCCCGTGGCCCCGCCGTTCTCCTGGGCTGCACTCTCCGTTGCTTCCCTGTGGCCTAGAGTGTGCGGGTCGCCAACAGCGTGATCCCGGGCCTGGTGGGGCAGGCGGCTTCTGGGTGCCTGGTTCAGAGCGTGGTGGTCGGACAGGTTCCCGTGAGCAGCACCGCCTCGGGCTCCGCTGCAGGGCTTGGGGGCGGCGAGGTGCTCCACCGCCCTCCTTTCGACCCGGCGCCCCCGCAGCCAGGCGTGACCTTGGCCCCCCCCCCC